AACCTGGGAGCTCTATTACTTCTTTGAACATATCAACCTGTTTCCTTCATCAAGCTCCTCTACTTCTCTTTAACCTAATGAGTTAGAGAGGAGTATTAACTAAAAGGCTAGCGTACACCACCTGTCCTATTTGCTTATTTCACCAGTAGTTGAACTAGCCTTACGTCAGTTGCGTGGGTGATCCCTGTGTGAAATAGTTGAAGCCCTCAGTTTTCCTCTAGCCTCTTCTAAAACTACAGTTCCCACAAAATACCACTTCAAGAAGAGGATGCATTCCATCCCTCTGGGAGGTCATCTATATTAACTCCAAATTACATATATTACTGTACAAGTTAAATTCTGTAGCTCCAGTGGATTATAGCAAAAAGCTCATAGTACTCAGATATCTGACTTGAATTTGCATGGTAGAGTTTTAAGTGCTGCCTAACACTGCAAGCCTGCAAACTCTAATGAAGGAAAAAGGTGGTTTCTGGAACACACAGCTATATCAAGCCTATACTTGTGCTAGGAACTGCCTGCCATGTGGCTCTGGTGGTACATTTAGTCATAAGGACTTAGGGGGAAGCCACAAAATCTGTGGCTACCACTACCACTTGCTGTTCGAATGAGGGGCCTTGACCCTAGCATCTCAGATTGGGCTTGGGAATACATTTCCATATAATTAGCCTGTTTGTTTGTTTTAAATAGAAAAGTCTGGTTAATATAATCCTTTTTTTCTTCCCCCAAAGTAGGTTTTACTAATCGCACAAGTAAATACTGATTTATCACAGTTTTCTCATAGACTGTAAATCTGAAAAGAAGGTCTATTTTAAAAACAAAATTCATAAAAACGAAGCCCTTTGGGTTTATTTTGTACTTACCTGGAATCTTCATATTTTTTCCATATAAAAGTGCCATGTCTGGATTTCAGCTTTTGGGTGGAAGTGAATCAGCTTCTGTTCATGGTATTTAAGGGCCCTATAAAAATGTGTGTGTGTGTTTTCCTCTAAAACATTTTAGAAGTTAGGACTTAATATGATTATACTTGAGTTGTAATTAATGTCGAATATGTTACTTTTTTGTCATGACTATCCTATAGTTTTACTACTGCTTTTAAAAAGTTACTGCTTGGTTCACTATAATGGCGTTTGCTTAAAATAATCCCACTTGAAATATCAAAAGACAAATTTTTCATAATTAAATAAAACATTTTGTCATCTATGAGAAATTATTTGCCTTTACACTGGCACCAAGTGAAAGAAACCATTTTGTTATTTAAGGCGACTCAATTTCATAGCAGTAAGAAATTCCATTGTTACAGGATTCACTGAATGTGGTTTGTTGGTAAATATATTACATTGATTTATGAAATGGAAATTTGCTTACTAGGAAAACCATCTTCAGATACAACTGCTAAGCCCAAGAGAGCCCCTAAACAGAAGAAAGTAGAGCCTATCAACTCTGATTCAGATTCAGAATTTGGCATTCCAAAGAAGACTACACCCCTAAAAGGTAAGGATTATGTTATCCTGATTTATGCCACGTGGAAAAGAGTCTCTTCTACTCATTGAATTTAGAGGGACTGTGTACCTATTTTTTTTTTTTTAAGATTTATTTATTTGACAGAAATCACAAGTAGGCAGAGAGGCAGGCACAGAGAGAGGAGGAGGCAGGCTCCCTGCTGAGCAGAGACCGATGCGGGGCTCTATCCCAGGACCCTGGGGTCATGACCTGAGCCGAAGGCAGAGGCTTTAACCCACTGAGCCACCCAGGCACCCCCCCATTTTGTTTTAAATTGCTTTCCTCCTCAATAAGCAACGTGTCTAAGAATCAGTGCTGAATTAAAGTCCAGAGGAAGTCTAGTACTTTATTTTATAAATCAGGGAATTGAGAGTCAAAGAGGTTAAATAAACAACTTGCACAGCTAAGAATGGTTCAAAGAACCCCCACCCCAGGCTGACTGTGTCATTAAAGTCAGATGAGGGCTTCCATCCAACTAGAGAGTGACTCTCATTAGAGCTAGGACTTGGAGATGAGCTCTTTGCTCATCTAGGAAATGGAATTCCTATACTCAGGGACCTGTAAGGTCACCAGTATCAGTTTTCCCTGGTACCCCCTCTTTTTCTCCAGAATCTAGAAAGTCTTCAAAGGTGCTTTTTAAAATATATGTTTAAGGGGCACCTGGGTGGCTCAGTGGGTTAAGCCGCTGCTTTCAGCTCAGGTCATGATCTCAGGGTCCTGGGATCGAGTCCCACATCAGGCTCTCTGCTCCACAGGGAGCCTGTTTCCTCCCCTCTCTCTCTCTGCTTGCCTCTCTGTCCACTTGTGATCTCTCTCTGTCAAATAAATAAAATCTTAAAAAAAAAAAAATATATATATATATATATATATATATATATATATATATGTTTAAGACATAATTTTTTTTTTAAGGGTTGCTGCTCAACCTTCTATCCAATCGACAGATATTACCAGATATTAAAGTGGTGGTTGGGATAAGGAGATAAACAGACCTACATGGAAAGAAGGGAGAATAGGGGAAAAAAGAAACAGTGACTGAGGTGGTCATTATGTATGGTGTGCATGGTTGGAAACTTTGAGAGATTCACAAGTGCCATTTCATCGATTCATTTGATAAACATCCCAAGGTCGTTTAGGCTATCTTTACTAGTACAATCTGGTTAGTCATAGCTCTTAAGGAATTTTTTTAAAATTTAGAATTGCACTTTAGTTCCATTTTCTTTTTCAGTGGTATCTAGCATCATTGTAGGATGGAGACTATTTTGTTACCATTTGCATGTTACCTTTCCCCCTTCTTCCAATGAGAATAAGAGGTTAGGTAGATGGCAAAAAAAATAAAATAAAAATAACAGTAATAAGCTGTGTGTGGTACTTCGGAGTCTGAGAAGGAACATGGATTTGACCAATTATTACATGATTAATACTGGGGATTTATTCTAAGACTGTACATCTTAGAATAGTTGTTAGTAATGTGTGGTAAGTAAAATTTTGAGTACACATTCAAACATAAAATTTGTACTAATGTATTACTTTTTAGTAGTTCAGTTTATAATTTTAAAGGTACTAGTCTATGACAAATTAGAAACTAACTTTTTTTTAATTATTTTTTTTAAATCACAAGCTAAAAAGCACTCTTTGAAGACATTTTCTTTTCAGGCACAAGGACTACATCTTTAAAATGCCAGTATTTTCTCTTGTGTATCAGAGACTTGGTCATTAAAATTTGTCACCAGGACCTTCCCACTAGTTTTAAATGTATTTGTGAAATACTCTTTAGTCATATCATCCCAGAACTGAAATGATGCTGCCAAAACATTTTTACCTCGTTTATATTTAGAGAACAGGATTGCAGTACTGATTGGGGTACGCCAAAGAAGTGAAGTGTAATGTTGTGGCATGTATTTGTTATATTGCACTTAACCTTGGGAGGAAAAAAAACAAAACAGAACAAAACTTTATGTTATTTTAAGGTAAAGGCCGAGGGGCAAAGAAAAGGAAAGCATCTGGCTCTGAAAATGAAGGTGATTATAACCCTGGCAGGAAAACATCCAAAACAACAAGCAAGGTAATTAGGAGGACCTTTTAATGCATTGTTTTATGGTGATCTATAGCTGGCTTAGTTGGCTTATTACTGTAAATGTCTTTTAACAGCTTTAAACCTAGCCTGTCTGATACATAGGTTTTGTATATGGTTAAAGAATTATCCAAGTATAAAATCCATATAATCTGGACTATTTCTTGGATAAAAGTATGGCATAAATTAGCCTACTTACTTAAGAATCTGTTTCATCCAGTGAGCTGTAGAAGTTATATGCTACCTGTCTGAAATACTATTTTTCAGTCCAAATAAAGGCAATTTCTTTTTGACTAGGATTTACTTGGCCTAGTTTGATTTTTCTCTAACTTGAATTCATTTGACTATGGCTAATTTTCAGTCTTTTTAGGGTAACAGAAAAACCTCAAATATCCACCTTTTCTCTCTCTTCCTCTCAGAACTTAAAAATACAGACAGAGAGATTTTAGCTTTACGCTGCTCTCCACCTTGAATTTTCTCCACGCAGTCATCATCCATGCCTCTTGTCCATCTTGATGATGACTCCCTGATTTTTATACAGGGTGTACTCTGTATTGCACATAAGTCTTATTTTCCTTTCATGAATTGATAGGTACTTACAAATAATTTTTATTATCTCGACACTGCATATGCTTGGCAATACAGATGTTCAGAAAAAGTAGGAGACCACCAAGGTGGCTGATTATTAGATTTATTTTTATAAAGGGGAAAAAGGATAACTGGTTGTACACTTCGGTCAGCATTACAACTCTGATTTTAGTAACCTCATTATTTGCAATATTTTTCCAATGTAAGTGAAGTGTAAGGAATAATAATTCATTTTAACACTTTTTTTTTTTTTTTTAAACTGTCTAGAAACTGAAGAAAACCTCTTTTGATCAGGATTCAGATGTGGACATCTTCCCATCAGACTTCACTTCTGAACCACCTTCTCTGCCACGGACTGGTAGGGCTAGGAAAGAAGTAAAATATTTTGCAGAGTCTGATGAAGAAGAAGATGTTGATTTTGCAATGTTTAATTAAGTGCCCAAAGAGCACAGAAACATTTTTCAACAGATAAATTGTGTTTGTCCTTTTGTCTTTTCTGTCTCAGACTTTTGTACATCTGGCTTATTTTAATGTGATGATGTAATTGATGGTTTTTTATTATTGTGGTAGGCCTTTTAACATTTTGTTCTTACACATACAGTTTTATGCTCTTTTTTACTCATTGAAATGTCATGTACTGTCTGATTGGCTTGTAGACTTGTTATAGACTGCCGTGCATTAGCACAGATTTTAATTGTCATGGTTGCAGACTACAGACCTGCTTTTTGAAATGAAATTTAAACATTAAAAATGGAACTGTGTACTCTGTGTCTTTACTAAAGATGAAAGTGTAGTAAAAGCTCCCATACACTTTTAAAATAAATATATTTTATTCTTTGCCAGGAGACTCCATGGAAAAAGGTAAACAGTATATGAACATAGAAAGCATTGTTAAACAATCTCAATGTACAAACAGAGCCAGTGAAAGTACATCACAGACTTGCTAATATATCAAAAAAAAAAATTCCACTAGTGCTTAAATGAGAACTAAGAAGCTGACACTTGTATCTGTTAACCACTCTACCACAGCTTTCACTCTGCTTCATAGTGATCGAACAAGGTCAAAGGATGCAGATTCTCTGTCCATGCCTTTGGGAGTTCATATTAGCCTCTGGGCATCAAGGAGGCTAGAAAAACCCCTCCGTAGCAGGCAGGCATCTGAAAGGACACTGGAGTTACATGGTATGGGTGGTAGACCAGTCTGCTAATTATCCCATGAAATTTCCCTAATGGCTTGTGAATAGGTAAACAAAAAACTTATTAACACTGAAAAGTGTTTCTGCCTTGGAGGCTACCATTACTGTAAAAATGTATCTTTTTTAAAAAAAATTGTGTAGTTATGTCATTAAGTAATAAACCACTGTTAAAGTGACATTAACAATCGAACAAATGACATCTGATTAACTGAACTGGCAGTTACACTGATACAGAATTCTCTTCTGCTAGTGCAGTGAATTTGTATCTTTTTACTGGGCAACATGAAATAGAGGACGCAGTTTGAGAGCGTCAAAAAGAGCAAGGACAAGCTTCCATACTAACTAAATTAGAATTATCTCTAGCTTTATCTTGTCATACTGTACAACAGTCCCCTTTCCTTACCTTGATGTCCTGGTTGCTCTGTGAAAGCAAGACAGTTATTTTTTTTGAGCCTTTCTTAGTTGGACACGTATGGTAGTCTGTTTCACAACCTTGGTGTCTTGGTTATTCCGAGTATGCAAGGCAATAGGAAAGCACCAAACATACAGTATAGAAAGAACAGAGCCATACTTCTCTGTATGTACAAAGTCTTCAGAAACTTAACCGGGGTAAATCATTTTGACTGGGTCTTTGCCATGCAATCTTGAGTATTCAAAGAGGAAAATAGAAGCTTTTAACTAGTTTCTGGTTGCATGAAATGGCTGATTTTTAGAATTGAAAAAGTTTGTATTTCTAGGTAAGTTAGACAGTGAAGAGTATATATTGATACATATGAAAACTTCTTGGTCCTTCTTGAGTTTTAATATATTTTCAGTCCAAAAACTAAGCAGCAGTAAAAATGTTTTTTTTCCTTGCATTTTAAATCCTGGAACTGAAGGTACTGGGGAATGTTTGAAGTAGCTGCAAAGTGTCTTATTGCACCAGTGGTGACTGACTGACACCGCTGTTTTCCACTGAGCTGGGTGAGGTGCTGGGACTGTGCTCCACTGGGTTCCCACTTGAACTTGGGGTCAAGGGTTCATGTCCTTCAGAATTCTCCAGCATTTCCTGAATGAGAGGTGGCATTGATCCAGGAATTTCCATTTTCAAGGTAATTACACGTTCTGCACCTTTTAAAGAGAAATAATAAAATCCAGTAGAGATAGGGAGTTAAGCTGAGTAACTTGGGATCAACTTTCATCGACTTTAGAAACGGTGAAGACTATGCTACCAATGCTTCCCAGACGCTGCCCTGATTTTTTTTTTCCCTTTAAAGCCCTCATAATTTGAGTATTTTTATGTACAATGTGTTGGCATTAAGGTAGGTATCTTGGATATCTGCAGTTAAGGTAAGTATCTTGGGTGACCCATTCAAGGAAGTTCACTTCATCCAACTTAATGAAGCCTATATTGTTCATGTACTGACGGAAACACAGGTGGCACATATTGAGACCACATTTCCGGGTCAGACCGTGCCAGTTCGAGCAGACACGGCAAGAACGAGAACCCTGGCAGATCTCGGAGAGGCAGTCCTGATTTTACAACATTTAAATATTTTTTACTTCATCTCTGGGAAAACAACACAGATATGACGACTTGCTTAAACTTGATGATTCCATGCCTGAATCAGTTTCAGGAAAGGTTAGCAGGATATATTTATTTAACATACAAAGAGAAGCTCCTGATAAATGACCAGAAAGAGCATATCTTAAAATAAGACAGTTGTCGGGGCGCCTGGGTGGCTCAGCGGGTTAAAGCGTCTGCCTTCGGCTCAGGTCATGATCCCAGAGTCCTGGGATTGAGCCCCACATTGGGCTCTCTGCTCGGCAGGGAGCCTGCTTCCTCCTCCCTCTCTCTCTGCCTGCCTCTCTGCCTACTTGTGATCTCTGCCTGTCAAATAAATAAATAAAATCTTAAAAAAAAAAAAAGTTGTCAAGGATACCAGTTACCCATGAATGAAGGAAGTGACTTAAGTAATAAATGTGTGATTATCAAGTAGATGTAGCACTGCACTGTCTAGCACAGTAGGCACCAGCCACATGTGGCGTTTTAAATTTAAATTTGTTAAAATAAATACAATTAGGAAAAACTGCCTCAATTGTATTAGCCACTTTTTAAGTGCTCGAGAGCCACGTGTGGCTAGTGGCTACTTGTATTGGACATTGCAGATTATACAATATTTCCATAATCACAATAAATTCTATTAGCACTGATCTAGCTAGATATAGAGAATGACAGTATTAAGTTAAACAGCCTCATGGATTTTAAAGTCAAAGACCTCACAATTATAATGGCCAAGCACTGGTATCTGCTATTTGCAAATAGTCTTAATCCCATGCTAGGGATGAACTCAGAATGGCTCACTGAGAAAACCTCTTAGGAGATGCTTAGGAATTGAGACTCCTTGTCAAACAAGTTTACCGTGTTTTTAAGGCACTTTCTGAAATAGAGCATTTGTTCCTTGGCTCAGCCAAGTCTTCAGGGACAGAGCACACTTGGTATCAGGGATAGCTACGGAGTTTTCTCTCTGAAAAAAAGAAAAACTCCACTCTAGCACTCAACTGTCCTCTGGCTCTAGGCACTTCTGTAATTGCTCAAGTTGCCACACAAACTGAAAATCACTAAGCAAGAAATATTTATACCTCTCAGAAAGGCAACAATTCCTTTGCTGAGAAGCGTGCAGAAGTCAATCTGCCTATACACAAGAGAGTGATGGCAACATTGATTTGAGAGAGAAACTTCACCAGTAACAGTTGCCCTAAGTATTACTCATTTTCCTGAGGTTTGGATGGTCAGGAAAAACTGCAGTCAAGTTTATGTCAACCAGAGCATGTGTGGAAAGGAATGAAATGCATTAAATTAGAAAACTGAAAAGGCTGTCAATACCTTCTCTTGAAAATAGTTTTTCTAGGGGCATGTGGGTGGCTCGGCTGGTTAAGTGTCCAACTCAGTTTCGGCTCAGGTCGTGATCTCAGAGTCCTTGAATCTAGCCCCTTGTAGGACTCTATGCTCAGCGGGGAGTCTGCTTGGCATTCTCTCTCTTCCTCTCCCTCAGCCCCTTCCTCTGCCTGCGCGCCTGTTCTCTCTCCACCCTCTAATAAATCAATCTTAAAAAACAAAACACCAATTTTTCTATCCAGTCACCTGAATTATAAACTCAATCTCTTAAGATCATTGAATAGGCTAAGAGAAGAGGTTTTTTTTTTGTTTTTTTTTTTTTAAGATTTTATTTATTTATTTGACAGAGATCACAAGTAGGCAGAGAGGCAGGCAGAGAGAGAGGAGGAAGCAGGCTCCCTGCCGAGCAGAGAGCCCGATGCGGGGCTCGATCCCAGGACCCTGGGATCATGACCTGAGCAGAAGGCAGAGGCTTTAACCCACTGAGCCACCCAGGTGCCCCAAGAAGAGGTTTTTAAGGGTGAATACTATTCCTTTTGATTTCCATCAGAAATAAATTCCAGAACAAAAACAGAAAAGCAGCTATTGTCAAACATCCTGAATGAAAACATCAAGTTAAAAAAAAAAAAAAAGGTCAGGACCACTTCATAAATAAAATGGAGACTCTAAAGACATACCTTTAGCACTGATGCTGCGGAGGTCTGTGATTTTCATTAAGATCTTTGGAAACATGTGAGGCTTGCTGGGTCGTCTCTTTCTGATATAAATTTTTAGTGCTTCCAGCAGTGGTTCTTGTAGCTTATCTACTTTTGTTGGTTCCTCAAGGTCCTGGCGGTCTAGATAGCAGGAAGAAAGTTTTAAACAGTTAGTATCAGGACAGAAAGAGTTCCGCACTCACCAGGAGAGAGGGCTGCCGCCCATTTCCCTTTCTTGTTTCCTTGGCCCTAGTACATTATGACTTAATCTGATGATTCAGTCACATACCAGTTTGAAGATTCGTGCAAATGTTTTAAGCAGTGATACTTGAAAATGTCCCTCTTGCTGTTAAAAAGCACATTTTCATTACTAGTAGCTTTGTTCCAGGGAGAAAATTACTTCTTGTGACCAGGAGATGTCACTACTGAACTGAATTCAACCAAACCTTGAGCAGCTGGATGGTTTTAAAAGCAAGGTAAATAGGCCCCGTAATTAAAGCCATTACTTTTTAACCACTTAGGATTCAATGTCCTGTGAGCCAGTAGGGGTCAGTACAAAGAAGAAAGCCATATTTTATGCCAGTCCTTTAAGAGTTAGGGGTGGGGTGGGGGGGGCGAGACAACCCAGTGACTTGTAGTCCAAGCCACTACATTCACAAACGGCACAAGGAAGTCCCTTGCATTATCATTAAAATGTTCTTAGGCAATTTATTTTACAATAGTCTGATCCTGCCTTGGAAAAAACCAGTAGCAATTGGAGAAATATCATTTTGGTATTTCAGAGCAAAAGGATCCCAAATATCTTTATTTAATTTGCAATATGGAAAAACGCAACAAACCCCTAGCATGCATGCCTGGCTATTTATTCACGTCTTTCTCCATGCAAAATTACTCCAAAATGGAGATAGGAATTTCCCATAAATTACAAGTTGTTCTTCATGGAATCTCATGAGGGTTTTCTAGGTAGTTGGTACCTCCACAGATTAAGCAGATGGCACTGAGAAGGCCTGTTTCTGTGTCATCCATTTCCAAAGGCAGGAGCTGGTTGGCAAAGGTGAACACAAGGTCAGTCAGAGGACCAAATCCAGCATTGTGCATCTGAGTTCGATTTAGGGTAAGGCCATCTGAAAATGTCATGGTGTCTTGTTCTGGGGTATACCTGGTGCAAATTCTAAGAATCTGGAAGGAAGAAGAAAAAAAAAAAAAACCATATTCGATGGGTCATCAAAGCCAGCCTGTCCTTATGGCATCAATCTAGCTGGGAAGGAAGATGAAGATTTCCAAGGAGCTCTCACATCACGTGAGGCACACTGCCCGCCTTCTGGATGTGGAATGTCTTCTGCAGCCCTTTCATTGAAAGAGTATAGAAGCCAAAATATGGGCTAACTTTATTTAGGGAATAATAAACAGGACACAAGAAATTTTAAGAAATATTTGTGCTAAAAGTAATTCATTTGACTCAAATAAACATTCACTGAGTACCTACTTATGTCCCAGGCACTATGCCAGGTGCTGGGGAATAAAAAGATTTTTTTTCTTAAGAGCTTACAGTCTACGAAATAAAAAGGCACTATCTACCATTTATGAAATGCTGAGTATATGTCAAGTGTTAAACATGCCCTATGTTCAAGCTTTCAAACACTTTAGCAAGTGAATATTATTCCTATTTTACAGATGAGGGACCGAAGCTCAGCGTGGCTCAGTCATAAGCCCCATGTCACGCAGTTCCCACGTGGCTGGGTTTGATGCCAACCCAGGTTGGGCCCCTCTCCATGATGCCTCTGATCACACAGCTCCCAGCAGCTCCAATATGAGGAGCAGGAGTGGAACTGCAAGGAGGAGAGCTCGGATGCAGCCAGAAGGAGATCAAGGGCAGATTCACAGAGAAGAGGAGGTATTTCTACCAAGCCCAGAAATCTGGTTGGGATTTCTGTAGGTAAGAAGCCCGGGCCGTGATGCCAGTCTTCCAGTGCCACCCAGCATGCCCCGATAGAAAACTCTGCTGTGGCCACACCCGCTACCAGGAAGTCACCTGCTTGGCGCTGTGGGCCTTTGGGCCTCACTCAGCATGGCCAACTCCAAAACCCCCTCGTGTAGCTATGTCGTCACTGCAGCTGGCGTTCCCACTGCCCTCTCAGCCCGCACCGCCGGCAAGGAGCTCCATGGACACAGAGCACTCATCCGCCCAGAAGCATATTTCTGTACCGATCACCGTGAGGGGCCTTTCTGGCAGCCACGTGTCTACTTTTGACTTTTCCTTCTAAAAAAGCCTTAGAGCTGTGTGAAGCAGACAAATTTATTCTGTCTGGACAAGAGTGGATAACCCGGTAGGCTAACAGCGCTGTTTTTTCCAGATGCTTGTGCTCTGTATGACTGGGTGTGGTCACCTCAGTGTCAACAAAGAGGAGGACAGATGTGATCAGAAAGGTCTGCGATCTTCCCGTGACAGGGCCCTGTGCGGAGGGGGTAGCCCTCTGACGAAGCCACAAGACTCCGAGCTACAAGGGAAGTCCCTGTAGAAGAGCCCCCTTCCCACTCTCCATATTTCCACCAGGACTCCTACTGCAAGAACCAGGTCAAATCTTTTCGTGCTGGGCGTTCGGGGCAAAGACACTGGCCCTGCCCAAGACCATCCTATAGGACTGGCTAAGTGACCACATGAGCCAGGGGGCAGGGCTGGCGCACTGGAAAGGTCGCCTGTTCTTGGGTCCTTGCTCTGGTGTTCTCTGAACCTCCAACCCATGGGGCTAGGAGCCAGCCCTCCGCCTACGTGCTGGACTCCAGTGTGGACTTGGATGAGAGTATAAAGATGTCCTGTAAAGTGAGGCCATGGGACATCTGCTACATCTGCTGATGGAAAAAAAAAAAAAAAAGGCCTGACCCCAATGTCTTCTTGGTTAGAAGAATATCTCCTGAGAGGAGAAGGGGGAACGATGAGCGTTCTGTCCTCTAACATATGAGAGCTAATGTTTTATTCATCAGTGCCTACATGCCGGGGACTGTGCTAAGTGTTTTAACATATTACCTAATTCTCCTATCAACTCGTAACTTTGGTCATCCCATTTTACAGACAGGGAAACAAAGGCAAATAGCTTGTCCTAGGTCACATAACTGCTAAGTAACATGATCTGCTTCAGGTGATTGGTCCCTAGCATTTAAGTGCTCCCCTCTGCTATGCTCTTCACCTCTGCCTCCCAGCAGCCTCCATCTTCTTCCTGCCACTCTCCATCCCCCGCTGCCTAAGGTGAAATGACATCCAGCCAGCATTAATTTGGATATTAGCCTCATTTGTCTCCTTGGCTCGCTGCCTTAGTGCAGTGCACAACCTGGATGGTTATGCATGGTGACCTACCTGGTACACAGAAGCACGCGGCCTTGGAAACGGAAAATTGGGCAAAGCTCACTTCAGGTGAGGGGGCATGATCTAAATCAGGACACATCCTCAAACTTAACATTCCTATTATGTGATCAAGTGGCAAGTGAACGGGAAAGCAACTGAACGTGAGTTGTTGCTAAAATGTTACAAAGATTCCTCTTCGCTGGATGGGTGGCCGTTTTTGCCTCTCAGGTATTTGCCCAGGGACCTCTCTGAGCCCGTCCCCCCATTTCCTCTGGGTCCCCAACTGAATGACCAGTTGCACGTCATCTTGGTAGCTGAGGGGTTATGAAGTCCATTCTCGATGTCAGAGCAGCAAAGGAACGGAGAGGCCCCTGCTCATAAGCCTTAGTTCCCCTGAAAGCCCCAGGAGTAAAGCCCCAGATCACCCAAGTGCTGGTGCTGGGACAGAATGCAGGACTCCTAGCCCCAGCCCAGGGCCCCTTCAATCCACCTGGAGGAGCATAAGGAGAGATGCCTGCGTAGGGACGGGTCCCGTGATGGGCAGAGTCAGAAGCTCAGTATTTATGGGCTCAAAATCTCCAGACACATTTCCAGTTTGTAATCAAATATGTACTAAATAAGTCTTTGCAGCTGTAGCAGACTGCCTAGAAGTGAGCGCACTAGATCTGTCCCTGCAAGAATGAAGGAAACCAGGATTTGCTGGAAAGGAACGGAAGACCAAGATTTAGGCATTTGCAAGCTGTCAACAGCTCATTTAGAAATCCAAGTCTGCACTGGAGCGCACAAATGTCTCTTTTGAACAATTCTAGTCTGAAGGGTGCCCCTCCTCAAAAGCGGGAAAATGTCTGGATTCTAATGAAGCATTTAAACTATGTTCTGTGGCCTCTCTCCCTAGAAAGTTCAAAACCCAAACCAAGTATTAACGGGCTGTCCAGAGGGGAAGGCCCATGGCCTGAGATGAGAGAATGGTCAATGTCTTCTTTTACCAGGGGAGCCTGCGCTCTCCCCCTGCCCAGGCTGGACCCAGTGGGCAGCAGGTTTCCTCCTCAACCGCGCAGGCAGGCCCGCCTCTGGAGAGGAACCAAGGAGTTTCAGTTCGTTCAAGTCAAACCCCAGTGGCAACTGCCAAGCGCTTCACCAGTATTAAAACGCCCTTTGTTTGAAACAGGGTACTGCATCTGGACAGGGGAGCACGCGGGCCCCATGAGTTGGGCAAAAATAGCGCAGGCGAGGCTGACTCACGCAAGGAGGGCCCTGCTGGATGGCACCGGGCTCTGCTGATCAGCAATCCTGACACTCCTCGGAGGGAGGACCCTCAGCCCTCCTGCCTTCAGCAAGGACAGGTGAGTATTGTTCCACTACCTTTGGGGTCCCCCCTGGGAGGATCTGAGCATGTGGGATCGCAGGCACAGATAGAGAGACCTGTCGCCTTCTCTCTCTAATCCAAGCCACCCTCACCTCTCCTCTGGGGATTCTGGCCCCCGCTTCTGCTCTCCCAGCGAGAGCATGCTGTTCAAAATCGCCACCAGAGGGGACCTCGCCCTTGCTTAAAATCCCTCCAGTGGCTTCGAACTGTTCTAGATCTGTGACATTTAGACTTCTTCCTCTGTGGCCTCTACCTATCCCATCACGGCTCCTTTCCCCTTGCTCCTTAACTTCTGCCCATTTCGGTCTTTCTAAATATCTAGCAAGTCAATGTCACAGCAAAGCGTCTGCACTTGCTGTTCCCTCTGCCTTTGATGCTTTTCCCTTGATCTTCAGGATTCTTCCTACTCAGAGCTCAGTTCAAACGGCACATCCTCAGAAAGCACAGTGAACACGCTTCCTAAGACCCATTACTTTCTATCCTATCACCCACTTTTGTTTGAAATAGGAAATAAAACTGTTTTAAAACTGAGATATGTCATGTGCAGTGGCTTTAAACAGGCTCACATATTCTTTGCTCCTGCTCTATTTAAGGAGCAAAGCTTCATTCCTCTCCCCTTGAGTGTGGGCAGGACCCGGGGACTCGATTCTCACATAGAATCCAAGGGAAGCAACGGGTGTGACTCTGGAGAGTAAGTCATAGGAGGCGAGGCACCGTGGACGACTCCTTTCAACTCTCTTGCATCTCATTTTGGGGGAAGCTGGCTGACACATCATGGAAAGGTCCATGGGGCAAGAAACTGGGCCCTCCTCCCAACAACCAGCACTAGCTTGCCAGGCACCTGTTAGGAACCCCCGGAAGCAGCCCTTCTGTCCCGATAAACCTTAGGAGGATGAAGCCCCTGCCCGTGTCTGGCCAGCAAACTTCTGAATGACCCAATCCAAAAGCACCCAGCTCAGTCAGTTCCTAACCCACGGGGCCCCGGGAGATAGTAATGCTCATCACTTAACACTGCTAAGTTTCATGGCAACTTGATATACGGCAATGGATAACGAGCCCAACGTACTGGCCTTGAGCTGTGCTCGCGGCTCAAGTGTACAGGTGACTGCATCCCCCTCAGGTACACGCCTGTGGAACTGCCACTCAGATCGAAACACAAAGAGTTCCAGCTCATCTGGGCTCCCGTGGCCCCTTGAGATCCAATCCATCTCCCGCTGCATGTCCCTCCCCCCTCCAAATAACCGTTATTTTGACCTTGATTCCTGCAGACTAGTTTTGCCTGTCCTTGAACTTGAGGTAAAGGGAATCACACTGCACATTCTCTCTCGTGTCTGGCCTTTATGAACTCGGGAGTCACAGCTGAGATTCCCCATGGGAGCAGGTGAAGCTGTGGTTCTTTTTTCACTGCTGGGTAGTATTCCAGCCCCCGCCCCCCGACCCCCCGGCCCGGCCTGCTGTCTTCTCCCTGGTGTGCCGTCCCTCTCTGGGCCTGCTGACTACCACCGCGCCCGGAAGACGGGCCTGCTCTTAACCTGCCCTGCTCGCTGCTCTGTCTCGGGGCATCTGGGCTGCGGAGCCCACACAGCAGGTGGCTAATGAACAGCTGTTCAATTATTAACGAAGCAGATTCCCTCATTGGAAATCTCTCTCACCTTGTAACCCCCTGAGGGGCGCAACTGGCGATTTCTGAGTCCCTAGGCAAAGGAGCAAAGCTCAAGTGGCTCATGCATCTCGGGCCATGCACTGTATCTGGCGAGTCGTGGGGAGATCCTGATCTGGTCTGACAATCCCCAGTTCACGCAGCTTCCACATGGCAGAGCTGGGATCTGAACCCAGGGAGTCTGGCTCCAGAGCCTGCCCCCCTCACCCCACACTGACTGCCTCACAGTGACTTCCGGTGACAACCAGGGCGACTGCTCTGCACCCAGGGGTGAGAAGACTGGGTTTCAGAGAGACACGGGACCTCCTCACACCTGCACGGAGGCCGAGGGCGACGCTGCAGCCCAGTTCAGGCTGTGGGCTCCGAGGCAGAGCCGGCTCCTCTTCGGGCTGGGTCTGGTCTCTGCTGAGCCTCCGGAAGGGGGAGGACGGGTTCACGCGGGAATGGCCCTCCACGGCTATAGAGCCGCATGGTCCCCAGAACCCCAGGAGCCACAAATCATGTCCTGAAGTCACATGGGGCAGTCCCTTCTGCGTCACCAGAACAAGGTGCGCTGCCCCTGGTGTGGCAATGTTTCCTCAGGGCAGCGGGGGCAGCGGGAACCCAGGAAGGCCCCCAGGGACCCTCAGGGAAGCCCTCACGCTACCTCACGCTGGAACCCGCCCAGATGCAACACTCTGAAGGTGGCCCATTTTCTGGAATTCCAATTTTGATCTCTCATTCATTTGCTCATCCATTCATTCCCAAATAGTCACCTTCTCACTGTTCCTCAGCCTGCCAGAGCCTCCCTGCCTAAGGGCCTTTGAACTACACTCTACAGGTCGCTCTCCCTCGTACACCTCCCTGAGTACTGTCTTTTACTGTTCCAGCTCTTTCTGTCCTTTCATTCAGGTCTCTTCAAAGGTCACCTGCTTCTCTAAACACACAACTCATGCCCACCTCAATCACGCTCCTGGACTTGATCCTGCCCCTATTTTTCTTTGCGGCCCATCAGACCCTGCCTATTCATCTGCTTATTCTCCATCTATCCCCCGTCGAAGGGCAGCTACATGAGGGTAGGCACTTTTGTCTGTCTTGTTCACTGCTGTGTCATAGAGCCTAGAACAGTGCCTGGCACACAGCGGGTCCTGAGTGAATATTTGTAAAAGGGAGAGCAGAGAGGGAAGGACGTCAGCAGGGAAGAGCAAACAGAAGGTCAGACAGCCCCAAGCATTGTTTTTTATGATTTTTAAGGTGAGAGAGACTTGATTCAATTACCTGCACAGAAGAAGCAGCTGAGAGGCAAGAGAAGAAACAGGATAGGGAAGATAAAGGAGAGTCCGCAAGAAGGAGAACGTGAGCACAGGTGAGGGGACCACTCTTGGGGGGTTCCTTTCTTGTCCTGACCACAAACCTGGGGTGCCACAGCTCTGGGATGAGGGATAGAATGCAAACTTCTACGCACAATGGTTTTGAAGATTTGGCCCATCTTAAGAGAGACCTTGCAGCTACTTGACCCCTGTGGGAAATCATGAATCCTAGCTCTGAGGGAAGCCTGGCTGTGGACTCCACACCAAAGGGTCCCTACCCAGGCAGACGCCAGGACTGGAAATCCTTCTGGAGGGTGGTGTGGAGAGGCTAAGGGGCATATTTTCCCCTTCTGGACAGCCCCAGCAGGCACCGCGCACTCGGGAGCAAAGGCCTGTCTCAGACCACACACAATGCGTGGTGCTAGGCCAGAGCTGCCGACCCCTGGGACAACTCTATCTTTCCCTTCTAGGGGCTGACAGCAACTTCAGCCTGTGTCTGTCCATCTGTTCTTCTAGTGTGTCTGTCTTGCTCTATCCCTACATCAGTGGCTTCGATAAGAAGATTCTTCTAAATGGGTCAGCAAGCTGATATTCTTATCTGAAAGATGCTCTTTGAAGCTGTGCATTTTTCAGGCTCTTGTGATTAACTGCCTTTGCTACAAATTCTTGGAAATGAGCTCTTATCTGGGGCCAAATAAGTACTCCTTCTGCTTCATCTCATAAGACTGGACATCTCTGCCCTTCCCCGAGTAGGGTTTTTCCCTCTTGCGCCTACTGCATCCCAGCCCCAGCCCCTCAGTCCAATGAAGCCAGGACACAGTGGTTGAAAGAGTTTTCTGACTCCTGTCTCAGGGTCCGGAATTGTCCCCATGTGCTTTTGACAGCTTTGTCCCTGATCCCAACACCGCTATCTACTACCCATTCATGCTTATACCCATGACTGTATTTAAGCCTGTTTAAAGAACTACTTTAGTCAATGCCTTATTGATTTGTATTCCTGTTGTACAGATAGGTGAACTCAGACTGGGAAAGGTTAACTCGACCAAGGTCACAGAAATTGGTCTTGTTCTACCCAATTCCACCAAGAGGCCAAGCACTGCTTCTTGGATCCATGGGCAACCCAGAGGAGTGCTTGGGTTTCACTGTAAACGTGGGATATGGAAAGACAGCTGGAGGTTGTGGGGGGATTTAAAGGGGGGGGTCTAAGCCCCCCTGACCATGAAAGTATGGGGTGTTGAGAAAACAAGATGCTTCCTTGGAGGATCGTAAAGGCTCTTTCTCGTTTCACCTTTCCCAAAGGGCTGGAGTTGAAGGAACCCCACATGGTCACCACTTGGCAGCCAGACAAGAGGAGGACTAAGAAACAAGTGAAGAACCAAAGTCAGAGCCCAAACATCAGGAAGGTTCCAGGCCCTGCCGGGTGGCCATGTCATACAGGGAGTCAGAATTCCACCATGTGGCCTGGTGCAGACCCCGACCTGCTGGTGTCACCTCATGGTCCCCTCAGCCACTCTGGACCTCTGGGGCACCTCTCACCATGTGCTGGTAACTCCAGTCTCTACTTATATCCTGGGGGGGTCTGGAGGCTTAGGTGAAACTCACTTGAGTGCTACACTTGAAGCACTCGTGAGGAAAGGGTAAGAAAGCGCAGGCTTTGCTGTGAATTATTCCAGTAGCTCATTATTAACATTGTCACGGATTTGTTCAGGGGGCCTCTATTAATCTCTGGTGGCCTGGCTGGTCCTATGCCCAGGACCCACCTAACACCATCCCCTGTTTATGCCTCTAATCCTTTCATGGCTTTTGGGATAGAAATATGTGGGTCTTGGGGTTTGGTTCCAGCATTCACCTGACCTGGGTGACTCACCCAGTCTCTAGCTCCTCATCTGTAAAATGGGCTGAATCTCCATCCCCCTCCAGCTCACTGAGCTGTGGGAGGCTCAAGTGAGCTGAGGTTTGCAGATGCTATGGGGTGTGGGCAGGTGACAGGTGAATGCTGCTTTGAGGTTTCATTTTTTTCTAAATGTCCCTGGGTTCATCCCAGATCCTCTGATTTTATGAGATGAAAAAATATATTTATATATATATATATATGATATATATATATATATCATATATATATTCTCAGGATCCCTGGCACATGTAGGTTACTGAGCAACCATTACCACTCCTAAGATCCAACCAATGAGCAGAAAGACACATAAACATTCAAGCTCCCTGCACAACTGCCTCATACGGGGTCCTCTCTCCTCCTGAGCAGGACTGTGTGTTTAATTACAGTGAGTAACTCTATTTGCTTTGCAGAACTGTTTATACCCAAAGCTATGAAAGATGTAATAAAGAGAAAAATCTATGCTTTTAAAGCACCGCAAAAGCTAATTTTACTTTCTTTATTTTCTGATGCATCACCGGGGTCAGCTTCCCCTCCCACTTCCTCCAGGGGCCCATCAGTACAGACCAGCTCCCACCCCAAGGCAGGGTACATCCCTGTCACCTCTAATGGGAGCTGCCTCCCCATCACGGAAACCAACCCAGCCAGAATTAATCACACCATCCCTGAAGCCCCAACCAGGGAGAGGGAGGGAAGGCATTCGGCCAGTAGACCCGCAGAGGACAAGGTGTGACAGCGTCCTTACCTTCTCTAGGGCCCCTAGAAGCCCCAGTGTGAGAACAGAAGAGTGGAGAGAGGCACCAGGAATCCATTCCCTTTGCACAGATAGGGACACTGAGTCCAGGAAAGGAAATTATTTTCCCGAGGCCTCTGACAGAGGTGGTATAAATAAGATGAGAGGGCAGAACCAGGGTACCGTGAGCCAACTCCTGTGGGTTTAGCTCAGAGAAGCCTGATGGCCTTTCAAAGATCTACAAGACTGGCCTGCGGAAGGGGTTTTGGGGGAGCAAGCAAGGTTGTGACCGAGACAGGCCGGGTCCTGCTCCAAGGCCATGCAGTGGGGGTTCCCCCACCAGGTCGAGAAGGGACGAGGTTCAGCCCAAGTCCTGGGCATCCCTGAGCCTCCGGCAGTGGAACGGCGATTCAGGCAGGGAGGACGGGCTTGGCAAATGATGCAAGTGGCTGGAGGAGGCTGGAAGACCGAAGCCTCTGGAGGTCTTCCAAGTACCCTGTCTACTCTCCCCGCCCCACCCCCGACTAAGAGCTCAGAAGGGCACATACCAGAATGTCCAGGCAGGCAGCCTTCAGCAGGGTGATTTGGTCTGCAATGGTCAAGCCGGTGAAGCCTGGCAGACGTTTAGCAAACTCCACAATCTTAATAATGCACTTGGTGGCCAGTTCACTGAACTTGTCCCAGAGGCCCAGGTCCAGTCGGACTCGATGGTCAGCACTGGAATTCTAAGAGGGAGAGAAAACACTGTAAGGGGGAGTTTCTGGAAAGCTTGACAGGAGACGAGGAACTCGGCGCATTTTCTATGAATGCACTAATACTTCGGTCTTGACCAGGGAGCTTCCTGCTGGGGTCGCTGGGTGTTTAGCCTGGATTCTTCTGAAGGTGCTCCATATCCTATCTCTGAACCACCGGGTTGTCAAGTAGCAGATAAAGGGGGTTTCTCTTTATGTGATTATTCCAACTAATACATGAAGGAATGATAGAATAAGGAGCCACCATTTTAGAACCTTGATGAATTAATGGCTCTAGGCACTGACGATCAGTGATTGCTACAATCTTAAAAAGAGGCAATGTCATGGAATCACACTCACCCACCTTTGAAATAGTCAAAGCAGGATGAGAGTGCGCCTCTAGATTGAACTACAGAAATCCGGGAGACATGGGAACGTGGTAAGTTACACCACAGGGGATGCAACTGTCCCCATCCAGAATGCTAGAACCTTCATCACACCAATAAACTGGTCTCTTCAACGAACACATTGTAAGAACTGGAAAGAGAAACCTGTAGACTAAAAGCGACTCAACTTAGATGCTTATTAACCTGTAAATGGAGAAATCCATGGCACCCCACCCAACGGAATGCTGGCCAAGGGCAACAGCAAAGAAAACATGACCCAGGCCACAACACCAAGGAGCCTCAGAAGCATCACACCAAGTGGAAGGTGGCAGACACGAAAGCCTGCACACAGAAGGACTCCATGAACAGGACATTCTGAAAATAGCAAAACTACAGGAAGAGAGAGCAGATCAGTGGGACAGAGGCACAGGAGGGGACTTAAAAAAAAAAAAAAAAAATAGGAGACTTAATTACAAGGTGTAGACCTTATCTAAATTCTGTTTCAAATAAACTAAAGAAACTGACACACGTAAGACAAGTGGGAATGTGAGATATTACGGTGTTTGAGATGCGAATTTCCTGTAATGAAAACATTGTTGTTTTCAGTGTTGGCAGAAGGTCACATCATTGAGAACATCAACATATTTACAGGCCCAATAACATGTTTGTAATTTACTTCCAAGGACTATATGATGAGGAGAGTGTCGATGGTGGCTGGAGGATGAAACAAGGCTGGCTGGGGAGCGATCCCGGGTCACTATTCTATCCTCTCTGCTTCCACAATAAGTTCACAATCATTCATAACAAAGATAAAAGGTGAGACGGGGACAGTGTGAATGAAAACAAAAGGTTACAACGATAGCAACAGAGTACGGCGTCCCTTAGTGACCTCAGACCTATGATGGTCACATTTATGTTTCCTGGTTGCCCCTGGTCCCAGCGCTGGGCGGCCCCATGACATGTGCAGTGTGATGACAAGTGACTTGCAGAGGGGCTGCCAGCCGGGGGGGCTGCCGGGATAACACGGCTGCTCCTCCGGGGAGCCCCGGCCCTCTCACCCCTCAGCAGCTTTAATTCTGGACCCCGAGGGCCAGGTTCCTGCAGGAGCCCCTGGCTTCTGGGAGCCACAGAATAAATCAGGGGAACAGATTTCAGTCCAACTACAGCCCTCTACTGGCTGGACCCCTCCATCCATTTGCATACTCCTACATTCACTTACTTGCCAGCCTCTCCCCTCCATCCCTGTTCCATGAAGGCCTCCTGCCCCACCTGCACGCAGCTAGGGGCTGGGGTATCACAGCTGAGCACATCACACATGCTTCCAGCCCTGGCAAGCTGACAGCCTGGCGGGGAGAGCACCTGCTGCTCTCTGGGACTTGCCACGGACGACCCTGTCCAGGCCCCCGCTCTGGACCCCACCCAACCCCACCCAGCAAAGAAGGGGTTAGCGATTCCTAGGTTCATCTTAAGACAGAGAAAAGTCAACTCAGAGAAGTGAGCTAACTTGCCATCGAGGGGTCAGAAGCGGGTCCCAGGTCTACCAGATCCCCAGCTGACAGGTATGCCCTCCCATAAGCAGTGTCTCAGTCTCCCCATTTGTAAAAAGGGATATGTGCCATGCGCCCTCAAAGGCTGCAGGGGAGAGGAAGTGGGTTCCCGGGGTACTAATGGTGCCGGGTGTGTTCTGGGGGTTCGGTCAGCATTGGATCCCTTTCCTCAGCACCCCTACCTGCCCAAGGCACCGCCAAAGGGTTCAGACAACAGCAGTGACCATCTTCTCTTCTGTCCTCCCGAGCAGAAGGAGCATGGCCAGCAAAGTCCCCATTCTGGTCCCCACTCCACGGCCCATTACCAGCCTCAACCTAGCCTTCCCCATTTAATCAGTAAGGAGGATGTTCAGTGTACACAGTAGATAGGACACCACTAAGAACTTGCTGGAAATTACTGAAGGTCTCAGCTTTCGGTGAGGGCTACACTACAACATACCTTGGAAAGTGGTTTTGTGCGGGTTTTTGTTTTCTTTTTCTCTTTCTCTGATCTCCAGAGCAGAATCTCTGGTGTGAAAGCAGTTGAATGACTGTCCTGCATTCTTGCCATTGTGCCATCCTTCTCTCCTGCCTCTGGAGTCGTTTGGAGGACGGCTCCTCCCTCCCTCTGAGCCGGTGGGGTTTGGGCAGGGCTGCCTAACTCCCTTAAGCACAAGGAGGGTGCTTGGCTCTGGTCTTCATAATCACAACAGGCTCTCCTCTTGGCCACAGAGATTGGTTCAGAAAAGAGGAGGCAACCACCAGCAGGCCCATGAGGCTCACTTCTGAGTCTTTGGCTGGAACAACTGGGGAACAAGGCTGTCAGTGTGGTTTGCCAGGAGTTTTTAGGGGTTATTTGGTGGAGAAGGCCTTCTTAAAAATGAAGCCAACTCAGAGGAAAGCTGAGGTGAGGGAGGAAAAGAAAGAGGAAGAGTGGCTCTGTCCTGAAGATATGGAAATGCTGGATCCAGCCATGCCTGATCCACACCATGACTTTTTGGAAAAAAAATCTAGGTTCGTTTGAGTTTGGGTTCCTCTCACCTGTAGCAGGAAGAATTCGGACTGATGAACAGGTATAGCTGAGAGGGTTTAGGCCTGACAATGTCACATCCTTCCTCCAAAGAACTATTAAGAGTTAGAGAAGTGGTCCGCCCCCAGCACCAGCATCCTGGTCCGAGCAACCATCACCTCCTGCCTAGATTACGGCAATAGCCTCCTCACTGCTTTCTCTCATTCCACTCCTGCTGCCTTACGGTCTATTCTTATCAAAGGAATAAAGGGAACCCTTTAAGACAAAAGTCAGAGCAAATCACTGTACTGTTCAAAATCGCCAGTAATTTCTCATCTCAGACCAAAGGCCACAGTCCTTCCAATGGCCTGCGAGGCCCTCCCAGATCCGGCGCCTGCTCTCTGACTCCCTGTCTTCCCACTTGGCCCCAGCCTCACTGGTCTCTCGCCATCCGTGAACAAGTGGGCATGTACCAGCCTCCGGGTCTTTGCACTGGCTATTCCTTCCACCTGGATTCCTGCTCCCCCAGCTACCCACACGATGCTCTCCCTCATTCCTTCACATCTTTGGTCAAATGTCACCTACTCTTTTTTTTTATAGGCCCTTTTTTACAGTACTTATTCCCTATCACACTATCATTCCCTTATTTACACGGGGCCTTCTTGTCTCATTTTCCCCCTGCTGTCCCCTCAGTGTCTGAACAGCGTCTGGTCCATGGCAGGCAGGGGCTCAACAAGTGTTTGTTCAATGAGTCGACGAGGAAGGACGTTCCCCCAAGTCCTTGCTTCTTCTGGATGTCCCAGAACACGACCATTCTGAGGATGAGGCTCTCCCCGCTGTGGTCTAGGGCTGCTCAGGAGGCCTCTGGCTGCCTCTGGAGGCAGGCAGAGCGGAACTACCCAGGGAAAGGCGAGGCTCCCAGGGCCTGGTGTTTAGGACTCTGACAAATATCAACAGTTCCGTGAAGGGAACAGTGCACCCCAGACGCATATCTTTAGTTCCTTACCTCAGTGAAAACTAGCCCGGAGAGTCCATAAAACTAGCTTTCATCCTGAATACTGGGGAGGAAAGCTGGAAAGGAGTTTGCATGAGGGATGCCACAGAAGGCCTTCAAAGGGTGGGTGCCACCAGCGCCTTCCGCAGCACCCCCCGAGGAAGGTGGGCATGTATCCTCCAGATTGATTTTATTCCTTCCTCAAGAACCCTGGTGGAACACAGCACACTCGGGGGAACAGAAGATCAAGATGTGCGGCCATTCGGGCTGTAATTAAATTTAATAGGCAGTTTATCCAGTTTGTAGGAAGATGACACGGAAGAGAGGGACAGAGAGGAGAGCTTATGGCGGGAAATCATTTTACAATGGAGTATCCATCTGGAAAAAAAGACATTGGCCCGACCCAGCGAGTGTGAACGAAACCCCCATCAGTATGAGGTTACTTCATCACACACTGGGCTGCGGGAGAGAAGCCTATCGTACCTTCTATTAAAAATAATGCACAGCCGTCTTAATGGCATGTAAATCTAACTCACTATTATGCAAACCGAAGGGAAGAGGCAGTTAATAAAACACAAAATAACCTGGTGTTTTATTATACTGGTTGCTCGATTCATAGGCATGAGGTTTAAAATGGCTTATATATTATCTGCCAGCTGCACCAAACAGAGAGCTCGGCTTGTTTGGGTTGGTAATGAAGGTGGTGACGGAGCGCACTGAGGGAAGTGTGGGTTTTCCGCAGCACTTCTTAAACCTGGGGGAGCAGTAGAGTGAGAGGTGGGGTGGTCACAGAGGCCCTGGCTGAGGGCTGAAGGGCAGCCGGGCCACGGGGGTGAGAGGCAGGCCCTCCTCAAACTATGGCTCTCCCTCCCCTGCTCCTCCTCAGGGGGTGAGAGCCCCTCTCCAGGCGGGTCCCCCCACTCTGCCTTCCCACAGTGCTGTACGGCGGGGGCCCTGTGGAGGGGTGCGCCCCGGGGCCTCTTGCGCAGCAGCACCGCCCAACCCCACTAGGAAATCCAATTATATGGCCATTTTGGTGACGCAAAAGGGATCCCTTTTCTGACTGCCGTCACTTGCAG